TGAAGTATTCAGAGCCATAAAATGTTTCAAAACTGGATGTATTTGCTGAGTACCTGTTTGTATTTGTAAAATACATGAACATGGGTCCTAATAAAGAGATGCCTAAGGTGGTGACTCTATGATCATCTTGTCTGATGTGATGGTGGGGACACCTGTTGTATCCTGTAGACCAGTTGGGCATCCTGCTGCTTTTCAGGAATAAAAAAGCAAAGAAGACCCCACCTTCACAGGCCAGCTGCAGATGGACGTTAAGTTTTGAGGGGAGAAGGGCTGTGGCTGGAGGGGTATAGTAGGTGGCATTCCTGGTATAGGCAAGCAGGGCTGGAAGCAACCATGGTCTATGGGAGTCCTTGAGATTTGCCACAGTCATTGGAAAAGGACAGAAAACATCTCACATCTGGATTAAAGTATTAGTTAAGTGATTGCAGCTGAGTCTGATCTGAGCCAGGAACAGCATTTGTTAAAGACTGCCTGCTTCCTGGGACCAATGTCAATGTCCCTTGGCCTTGAGACTGCCACCTCTCTTTTAAGGCTAACTCAGCTCTAGACCAGTGCTCCCACTGGGAGGGAGACTGGGAAAGTTGATTCTGGGTCTGCAACATCATGTGATGCACTGCGCTGCTCCAGTCTCCAGGGGGCTCCCAAGCCTAGGCAGTTCTGCAGCATGACCGAGGGGCAACCTCGGAACAGAGATTTTCTTCAGGGCCTTTCTCACTGGTACACTGCCCTAGGTCTTCTACACATGACCAGTGTGGCCTCAGTGTAGTGAGCTAGAATGGGAGCCTGGGCTAGCAAAGGGCATTTGGGCTGCACTCTGGAGGTCCATGTTCTGTGGTCCCACAGTAGGAGGACTACACATGAGCCTTGGGAGATGCTGTTGTTTCCTGGGTCTCAAGCCTAAGGTACAAGTAGAGCCATGGGCACACAGACTGTTCTTGACAGTTGGACATTCAGCATCTTTTCAGAGGAAAGGAAGAAAACCCAGTGCCTTCACTGTTGAAAGACCTTTTATCTTTAATTTGGTGACATTAACACCATAAATCTAAACCATTTACCATTTATATTATATAACTCATTTGGTACATGTATGTTATACAGCCACTACCCCCATTAAGTTTCAGGACATTTCCATCACCCTATAAAGGAACTCCATGCTCACTGAGGTCACCAGCTCATTCTCTGGATTTGCCAGTTCTGGGTGTTCCACAGTAGTAGGATCTTGTATTTGCCTCTCACTGTTTTATCTTGGAGTCCAACCTTACTTAGGTGACCTCCCCTTACCAGATACTGCAGTTTGGCCACTGTTCAATACTGGGTACTGGGGAGGCCCTGGAAGCCAGACATTTCTGGCCAAACCAGAAACTCATAACAGCTGACTAGGTAGGGTACAGGGTGAATCTTCACCCTCACTGACTGGATGTCACCCATAGACTTGCCCTGTACCTGCTTCTCACTCCTGGGAAATCATCAACATCTCAGGAAAGGAAAGGTGAGATCAAGATGTAAGATAGTAAGATAGCCGGGCAGTGGTGGCGCTCGCCTTTAATCCCAGCACTCGGGAGGCAGAGCCAGGCGGATCTCTGTGAGTTCGAGGCCAGCCTGGACTACCAAGTGAGTTCCAGGAAAGGCGCAAAGCTACACAGAGAAACCCTGTCTCGAAAAACCAAAAAAAAAAAAAAAAAAAAAGATAGTACGATAGTTGAAACCCACTTTGCATCTCTTTTAGATTGGAATTGTGTGTGTATATACATATATATATATATATATATATATATATATATATATATATATGATTCATATATATTCATGAACTCTCACAAGTCAAATGGAAGGTGTGTGTGCAGATGAGGGTTATACAGATGAAGATGTGTGCAGGTGAAAGTATGTATATGTATGTGTACATGCAGGTAGGGATAAGTACTGGGGTGTTTCTGGGTGAGCATTACACAGGTTAAGGTATGTACTACTATGTGTGCAGATGAGGATGCATGAATGTGAAGTATATACAGATGTGGGAGTGTGCCGGTGAGAGGTGTGCAAATGGACTACGTAGAGGTGGGATGTACAGGTAAAGATATGCAATCAGGTGTATGTACACAGGGTACATTTCTCCAAATCTTCAAAAGGAGAAGAGTAAAGCAACACTGGTACCACCTTTTGCTCTAACAAGAGGGCCAAGTGAATACTGGTCAGACTTTGGGCTCAGCAAGAGTCCTCAGTTTTCATTAAAAATGAGAAAGTTTTACCAAGACTAATTTCCAGCTCTGCGGAGAGGTCGTGAATACATGGAGAGATCCTGAGAGCCACACAATAATGTGAGAGGAGATGCATTCTGGGAGGTTTACTGTCACCTTGAGAATCCAGCAGCCCCCAGCCCCAGACTGACCAAAGCAGAGATTCTGAATCCCAAGAGTTACGGTTGGTGCCACACCATACCAGACTGGTTCTTAACCTACTCTGCCCAGTGTCTTCAGTACGTTACAGTCTCTTAATAATGTGCTTCCCATACACTCTGGACAGTGGCTTCAGGTTAGACTGTAGACCCTGGTCTATGTGGGCACCTGGCAGCAGAGCCAGACACAGCAGCCTTCAGCCACCAACAACATCCTCCTGCAAGTGGCTTTCTGGGGGTGATGCATGCTACCTTAGAGGTGGCTGTGGATGGAAAGGGTTGTATCCTGTCCATCCCATCTCAGTCTCGGGTGCATCAGCAGTCAGCCCACACTGGGAGCATCCACATCGTTTTAGGAGTCCACAAATAGGAACTGACATTTCTTAAGCTAAAATTTGAGACACTGAGGGAAAAGACTTAAGTAGTATTGTGTTTGGAAATTTTCAGGAGAGCATGGGGCTTCAACTCACCACTCAGCATCCATAGTCTAAGAAACATCACTAGGTCATCCAGACCTTTGGCCACCAGAGAGGAGTAGGCTGCAAGCAGAAGTGGTCAGGCTCAGAGTTTTGTGTTTCTCCATGAAACGTGTGCCCCTCAGCTTCTACAGCAGAAAATGATGGGGATCAAGTGTGAAGAAGTTGGAGTTGGAAGTGCATGTCAGAGAGGCCCCCACACAAGCTGATGGCCTTCATTAAGAGATTACGATAGTTTTCTAGTCAAAAATCAGGACCAAGTAAAGCCAATTCAGGTGTAGGTGGTGAAGCTGGACTCTGTCTTCAGAGTCCCATCTACTACGCTACCCATTTTTCTCCCACCTCTGTTCTGTCCCCCAGCCAGCATCAGGTAGTCTCCTTGGTTGCAGGGGCTGTGGCTTTATGAGCTGTGGAACCTTCCTTTGTGAGGTGTTCCGTATCTGCTTTGTACGTGGGAAGGTCCCGACACTGTTTAATGTGTCAACACTGAGCAAGAAGTGTCTGATCTTTGCTGCTCAACATGATGAGAGAGGTGAGAAGGCAAGAGTAGACAATGGCCGTGGGTACAGGGATTTCACCTCGTCGCTCTCCAGATCAGGGCCTCACAGATAGAGATTCAGCCCATCACAGACCCCAGCTATCATGGGACCTGTTTGGTTTCTTGGAGCTGGCAGGATTTCTGTCTGATGAACCTCTCTACGGGGACATACAATGAGATGTCCAAGACTGGGAAGGCTCCTCCTGAGAAATGAGGGTACTGATGGGGAATCATGAGCAGGATGGGTGGATAACAGTAGTGTTGGACAGTTCAAAGAGAATTATGGGAGGCACCTAAGGCCGGATGTGAGGACAGAATTCATGACTGTAACACATGCAGGAAGCTCTGGAAATGTTGGCTGTAGCTGTGTTAGCCATGGCAGAGTCCCACACTGAAACCTACAATGAAAGTTGGGGGTATAGAAGCAAGAGACCTGAGCCAAAATGGTCACACATGCTGGAAGCTCCCAACACCACTGCTTCTTGAATCTGAAATCACAGCTCACCAGACTCTGCTGTTGATTGTTTTTCCCTTTTGAGGGGCTCGCCACCCACCTCCCAAATAAATCACACATAGAGGCCTTTTCATAGTTATAAATGCCCAGCCTTAGCTTTGACTTGTTTCTAGCCAGCTTTTCTTAACTTTAATTTATCCCTTCTACCTTTTGCCGCTGGGCTTTTTCCTGTTCTCTTACTTCTGTAATCTTACTTTCACTCTTACTCCACAGCTGCTGTGTAGCTGGGTGACTGGCCCCTGAAGTCCTCCTCCTTCTCTAACTACTTTTTTCCTCCCAAATTTTTCCTTCTATCTATTCTTTCTGCCTGCCAACCCTGCCTATCCTTTCTCCTGCCTTGTTGTTGGCCATTCAGTTCTTTATTAGACCATCAGATGTTTTAGACAGGCACAGTATTCACAGAGTTAAACAAATGCAGCATAAACAGAAGTAACACACCTTAAAATAATATTCCTCAGTGAGGGTCACAGGCATCCTTAGTCTTCAAATTTTGAGAGGATCAATCATGCTCTTATGAAATGAGTGAATGGAGGGACTCCAGTTCAGATGGTGGGGTGCCACTCTGAGGGAGGCAAGCTGGGGTATTGGCAAGTATCACAGGCAGAATATGGACAGATGTCTAGCAGAGGAGACAGTATGGGCATGCCAGCAATAGGAGGAGTCCAGATGTCCTACGAGCTGTGTGATGCACATGTTTGATGTGGGGAGTAGTGTCCTGTATGTGTTGAGCTGTATGTTCTATGTGTGGTGTGTAGCTTTGTGTGGTATGTATGGTTCAAGAATGTTCTCACACAGCAACAATATCAAAGTTGAACTTCGGGCCTATTAGGAAGATGAGGACTCATGTTATTGGCTCACTGCCTGGGCCCTTTCCTGTAAGATCAGTCTACTGTGCTTTTCCCCTTGTCCCAGCCCCCTTTCTAACATTGTCCCTTCATAGCAGCACCTTTCTAGGAGGGAGTATACTGGGCGGTAAGGTCCTAGGGAAATGGATGAATTTGAGTTCTTGTATAGGATGGCCTCAGTGTTGTTTTCTTTATGTATTTTCTAATATTTGTCACTTGAACATTCAGGACAGAATTGTGTCAAGGAGAGAGGTGGTACTCTAGCATATCTGACCCAACCAGGGGTCTATTCACAGATAACTGTGCCCACAGAGGTGGAATAGACATACCTAGCCTTGTGCCCACTATTTGGGTGGGGCGGTGCTGCAAACCTCCCTGTCATATCAGGGATCTCCTTCCAAGCCTTGTCAGCCATACCAACCTGCCATACAGATATCAGCTTTTGGTCCAGGTCCTGGTGACCCCCTAACAATGGCAAGTGGTATTGCAGGCCACTCATTCTATGCACAGGGACAGACAGCTTTGTGCCCTTTCTGTCTCTCAGATGAACGTCTGTGGTATGAACCGGAACCGGGTCCTCCCAGAAACCCAGGTCAACAATGTGAAGAAGATACTACCACGCCCTTTGTCCAGGGTGAATGGCTGGTCACCACCCCTCCACTCCTTCCAAGCAATAACCTGGACCACCTATCTGGCCATGTCCATTGTCACCTTTGGGATCTTCATACCCTTTCTACAAACTAGCTGGAAATATGCTGCCTATGTTGTATCCTTTGTGCTAGTGGGGTGGGGTCCTGGGCTGCCTGCCTCTTGGAGGTGGAGGGGCTTCTGAATGTCTTCAAGAACCCCATCATGCCTATGCAATGGGCTCTGTCTCTGCCTAGACCACTCGTTTCTGTGGCCCTGAAGTCAGTCCTGTGACTCCACATTCCTGATAGAAGGGGCTTTTGCTACTGTGAATGTAGAATCTGCTAGATACAAGGTGACAGTAGGGGTCCTGGAAGTGGTGACCCAAGGAAAGGGAAGCAGCTACAGACTCCAGTCATATTATCTTTCTTACAGCGCACAGAGAGGCCCCTCTCTGTTGATTCACAGAGTATCTAGGTCAATAAGAAAGGACTTTAGAAGCATATGCTTGGCTGCCTCCAACCCACATCCTGCCAATGTGTTTGTATAGCCCTACAGAGTCTAGTCCTAAGGCATGGAAAGGCCTTTAGAGATGGTTCCACAGGAAAGTGGGAAGACCTATGTCCATATACTGACTTCTTTGTGGTATGGTGTATATCAGGGTGACCATCTGGGATCTAACATCACACTTAGCATCTCATCAGAGAAATCAGGTCCTTACGCAAGGGTCCACATTAGAGCCAGTGCCAATCTGCTGCAAAGTGGGCCTGTGCCCAGAAAATTACATCCACAAGCCCTAGGTGAGCCCTGGATGACCATCTTGGTGAGAACATAATCTGTCTGTAGGCTCTAAGGGGCACTTTGCTTTGACTGACATTCTGCAGGCCCTGGAGTAAGGAGAACCAGGCAGACATGAGTAGTGGTTAGGAAGAAGGGAGTACAATACACAGGATTGAGTAACTGTTACAAGAGCCAGACCAGATACTATGATATCTTGGGGGCTGCTTTGCTGAGACTGGGTATGGTAGTATCTCACAGTTACCCACTTCAGCAGTCAGGCCTGGCCAGTTTTCCGTTTTTCATATGCATGTTCAGGGGATATTCTTTAAAAACCTCAGATGTCGCCGGGCGGTGGTGGCACACGCCTTTAATCCCAGCACTCGGGAGGCAGAGCCAGGTGGATCTCTGTGAGTTCGAGGCCAGCCTGGGCTACCAAGTGAGTTCCAGGAAAGTCGCAAAGCTACACAGAGAAACCCTGTCTCGAAAAACGGAAAAAAAAAAAAAACCTCAGATGTCATAAACTATCACCTGTAAATGCTGTGGTTGACATCAGAGCCTGGCTTTTATGCTCATACCCACCATGCTATCATCTTCCAGGAAAAGCATGCAGCAAACTCTGTCACTCATTTCCCAGTGTCCTTATTGCCAGCACCCCTATTTTCTTTATTATTTTATAGTGAGTCCTGGGGTTGAACCCAGAGCACTCACTGTTCCATAGCTTGTAGTTGCAGCACCCTGAAACTTCCCACAGTGTGGAACCTCTAGGCCTTTGGTTGAAGAAACTGGGGCAGAATATCTCCCAGTTTAGCTATGGCTGATTCTTTTCTTCTCAGTGGTAGAGGTTTATCTGTGGGAAGGCTCTTGATAATGAATTCAATGTAACAGGTAAAAAGTTATTCAAGTTTCCTGTTTCATCTTATGTTCATTTTAGTAAGTTATGTTTTTCATGAAATTTGAATATTCTAAAATGTCAAATTTCTTGGATAAAGTTATTCACAATATTGCCTATGCTTTTCATTTCATCTCTGAAGGATACAAATGTATTTTGGATAGGTTTTTCTGTACAACCCAGTCTGGCTATGAACTAGTGATGCTCCAAACTCAGCCTCTCAATGGTTAGATGTGTGCTTCACCACTACTTCTGGCTTCAGGACATGTAGTAACATATCTTCTTTGACTTCCCGTCTTCCTGTCTTCCTGTCTTCCTGTCTTCCTTCCTTCCTTCCTTCCTTCCTTCCTTCCTCTTTTCTTCCTCGTTTCCTTCCTCCCTCCATCCTTCCCTCTCTTCTTACCTGACATTGGATCTGCCATGCAGCCCAGGCTCCCCATGAACCCCCACCCTTCCTGCCTCAGCCTCTCAAATCTGGGATCGCAGGTGAGCACAACTGACTTTCTTGTAGAGAAGAATCACCTTTCCAATTTATTACTTTTCTCTACTGTTGGCCTCTTTCTATTTTTAATTTTTCAGCTTTTATTTTTATTATTCCTTATTTCAACTAACTTCAAGATTACTGTGATGGTCTTTTACTATCACTCTTAAGTGGAAATACAGGTCATTGGCTGACTCACCAGAGACTTAGAGTTCAATCTAAGCCTTATGCAATTACACTTTCCCCGAAAGTTTGGACCCTATGCTGTCTAGTTTTTATGTCAGTTTGACACAAGCTAGTCCTTTCAGAAGAGGGAAGCTTAATTGAAAAAATGCCTCTATAGTATAGGCAAGTCTGTGGATCCTTTTCTTGATTGATAATTGATGTGGGAGAGCCCAGCTCACTGTGGGCAGTGCCTTCCCTGGGCCAGGCGGTCCTGGATGGCACGAGACAACAAGGCAAGCAAGCCATATCAAGGAAGACAGTAAGCAGTGTTCTTTTGTGGCTTCTTCTTAAGTTCTTGCTTCCAGGTTCCTGTCCTGCTCAAGTTCCTGCCCTGACTTCCCTCAGTGATGGACTGTTACCTGGAAGTATACAATGAAATAAACCCTTTCTTCCCCAAGTTACTTTTGGTCATGATGTTTTTATCACAGCAATAAAAATCATAACTAAGATAGGCCCCATTTCCTGTACTCCTGGAACAGGCCAACACTAGTTGACCATGCAGTCTTTGCTAGTGGTTGGAGACTTATTTTTAGGGAGAAACTAATGATGCCCTTGGCAGGCACACTGTGAGCACACACACATCCTGGCAACACACACCCCGGGAACACACATCCTGGAACACACATCATGAGTATATATACCTTGGGTACTTACATCTCAGGTACATTCACCCTGAGCATATGTATATCTGTCACAGGCATACATGCATCCTAGGGACACATATGCCTGCGCATACATGCAAACACACACACACTTCTCAGATGTAAGTAAGCATCCTGTGTACATATATCTCAGGCACACATGCTTCCTAGGAAGACTTCATCTACCCTGTATCATGCATCCTGGGGACACATATGCCAAGCACATACACACATATCCCAGATACATATACCCTGGGCATATGTACATTCCAAACACACTCGCATTCTTGGCAGAACCCCACCCCCACCCCGAGCACATGTACCTTGAATATGTACACATCCTGGGCACATATATCCCAGACATGTGAATCCTGGACACACTTTTACTCAATCCATCTTGCAACATCAGGTCCTGTTTGGGGAGATAAGATGAGGATGGCCTGTAGGTATCAACTACAGGTACAGTGAATAGCTTCAGATCCCTGTCTGCCCCATGTTCAGGATCCAAATAGGCAGCAACATGCTTTTCCAAAGCCCAGATTTGTAGCTAGAGTTTTCCTGCCTGGCCCACAATCAGGACAAATCTCTCTCACCTGCCAGTCCCACAGCCGCTCAGACCCGACCAAGTAAACACAGAGACTTATATTGCTTACAAACTGTGTGGCCGTGGCAGGCTTCTTGATAACTGTTCTTATATCTTAAATTAATCCATTTCTATAAATCTATACCTTGCCACGTGGCTCGTGGCTTACCGGCATCTTCACATGCTGCTTGTCCTGGTGGCGGCTGGCAGTGTCTCTCTGACTCAGCCTTCCACTTCCCAGCTTTATTCTCCTCCTTGCCCCACCTATACTTCCTGCCTAGCCACTGGCCTATCAGTGTTTTATTTATTGACCAATCAGAGCAACACATTTGCCATAGAGAACATCCCATAGCACAGGTTCTATCCAGTCACCAGGATAGAGTGAGCATTTGAGCCATGCAGCACTAAACCATGTAGAAGTTCAAGTGTCCACGAGGGAGGGGACAGGAAGCTATAGTTGCCTGTCATGCTCTTCAAACACACAGCACTCCACCAGCCTGTTCCCTTCTTCTCATCAGGGTGACAAGTGCCAACTCTCAGTGGTGGCCCATCTCAGTATACCTAGTATGCATCCCACAAACCCTGCTGTACCTTCCTTGGTCCTCCAGAATCTCCAGACCTTGTTGCTGGCCTACTGAGCCTCCACTGTGTCCTGAAACCCAGACCCTCTGCCCTCCAATAGCCTCTGTCTTGGGTAGTCCCCTCTTACCAAGAGCCCTCTAATGCCTCAGGTCTGCAGAGTTGAACAGCAGAGCTAGTGGTTCTGTGTGCTCCTCAGTGTAGCCTGTGGGCCTCCTGGGCCCCCGACCATGATGAGGGATAAGAGATGATACAGAAGTCATCAGTCCCATAGCTCAAGCCCCGGCTTCTGTCCATGTAACACCAGACAGGGCAGCCTCACTAGATGTCCTCAGCATGGGTGGAGAACAGGCAACAATTCAGCAATTTCTAATGTCTCCCAAGAGAACTTTTTTTAAAAACTATTTTTAATTTAACTTTATTTTATGTGCATTGTTGTATTGCCATGGGTGTCAGGTCCCCTGGAACTGGGGCTACAGACAATTGTGAGCTGCCAGGTGCATGCTGGGAATTGAACCCGGGTCCTCTGGAAGAGCAGCCAGTGCTCTTAACCACTGTCTCCAGCCCCCTCCCAAATGTACTTTTATAAGAGTTTTCAAAGCCCAGAATCTAGACAGCTCTGAGTCTTAAACATGAGGATAGAGCCTCTCTGTCTCTTTAGTGGAGCATGGCAGCTGCCAGTCTGATCTTGGCTGAGCATTTCTGAGATGTCAGGTAATCTGTGGCCTGTCAGGTTGACAAGTGTCGGCACAACACACTGTCATTAGGGTGTAGCACCCGTGGGGACATAGCTACAGTCAGTGCTAAGTCTCTAGATATGCCACTGAGCTAACCCACCTATGCCCTGTAAAGGAGGGCTTTCCTTCTTACTCCCTACCTTCCATCTTGTTTCCTTTGTCCTGTATCTCTCCATCAGTTCTGTGGAATAATGCATGTGAGACCTATGGTTGTCTTAACAGAGCTACTCAAGGTGTCTTAGGTGAGAGATGTTTCTCTCTTAGTTCTGGGGTAGCAATCTAAGATGAAAGTGACCAAGGCCACAGTCTCCTGAAAGGCACTGGAGAGTACTACGTCACCTGGTCCTTGGCCTGGGGATGCATTCTTCTCCCTGTGTTTATCCATCTCCTGTTCTGATAATTCAGTCTGTTGTGCTTCCCATGAAAATGTTATTTATTTTATTATTATTATTAGTAGTAGTAGTAGTAGTCGTGTGTGTGTGTGTGTGTGTGTGTGTGTGTGTGTGTGTGTGTGTGTGTGTGTGATTGCACTGTAGCACGTGTGTGGAGTTCAGAGGACAATTTTCAGCAGCTGGTTCTCTCCCTCTACCTCAGGATCCAGGTTGTAATGCTTATACAGAAAGCTCTTTCAGCTACTGAACCATCTTGTCATTCTACAGTTCCCATTTTTATAAGGTCTGTGATCATAGTGGATCAGATTGTTCCCATTGACCTAATTTACCTGGTTTGTGATGACCCTATTTTGCAAGTGAGGTCTGCCAATTTTGGTGTCAGGACATGGATATGTTTAGGAGATATGTACTGCCTCATAATCACTGTTTTCCTTCTTACTTTTATTCCTAACTTGGCCTTATTTGGCCCTGCATCTTGTCTGGTGGTTCTGTGTTTACTGCAGTGGGCCTGAGCTTGTCTTGCTATCTGCCCCATTCCTCCTGCACACCCAAATGCCTGACCTCCATTTCCTCCCAGAGCCCTGCTACACCCACTCCATAGCTCAGTGCCCAGTCAATGTCCAGAGATGTGCAGCTCCAGCAGCTTTCCTGGCTTTTCAGGTCAGGCTATTATCTCTGGAATCCTTTCACTAGCCTGTCCCCAGCCTGGCTACACTGGCATGATGTTCAAACCAGCAGCACTAAGTGCTAGTTAATGGCCACTAGAGGGCACCAGCATCACTTGGCACCTGCTAGGCACCACGAGGAGCTGGGAAGTGAGGGTCTGGGTTAGGGGAAGAGCAATGGCTTTCTGTGGAGCGCACCTGAGGGAGCTAGAGACAAAGAAAAGCCTGAAGATCCCTCTCGTGGTACAGAAGAGAAAAGGCCCACCATTCTGGTGGCCCATGAGGGTCCTTTCGCCAGTGGGAATCCCACCTTGCTGACAAGGGAATAAATACACAGTTTAGACAACAGGGCCCACTGTGTAGTATCAAAATTTAACCATAGAGTTCTCTTTTAGAGTCCTGGGTTTGGAACAATGTGAATTAGAAGAGGGGACATCAAGCAGGGTTGTCAGGCTGCTGCTGTCGATCAGCTACAGAGTTTGCCCTGGAGGAGTCATGAGCCCAGACAGTACCAGACTGTTGGCTTCTCCTGGGTCTCCCCTCTTCCTGCGGAAACAGGACAAGGGAGAGGTCACTAGTTCGAGGAGACTGAGGAGGGTGGCGTCCTGAGCTGGCGCCCTTCCCTTGTTTGTTTACTAAACACAGATTGTTGCTAGGGAATGTTCCAGCCAGCTGTGGTTCTCATAGGCTCCCACATGGAAACTTCCAGAGGGAGTTGGAGGGAGGCCTCCATGGAGGATGCCTCACCCTGCTCCTTTCACATTAACTATCCACTGAGACAGGCTTATGTGAGGGCAGGAGCAGACCCTGGAGTTTTTCTTCTGGGCTCCCTCTTGGGATTGTCACCTTGGCGTGTGGTAGGGAGTGTCCGGCCAGGTCATTTGGGACAAAATATAGTATAGTAAGGTCACCAACAAGATTCTTTTGAGTGACAGGGTTATCCTTGAATGGTTCAAAATTTACTGGCAAAGTGTTGCTGAACAAGCTTTGCACAGGAAAATGTGATTAAAAAGATGTGCTGTAACTGTCTTTCACAGGAGAATTCCATTCCTAGAGGACAAGGGACGGTTATGTCTGAGGTCTGAGTCCCCGTGGGACCAGAGTCTTTGTGTGCCATATTGGTGCTTTTAGGGTGGCCTCCTGGTACTCCACATGAAGGCTGGGTGCTGGCTGCCCTTTAGTGTCTGTGTGGCAGGTCCAGGTACAAGGGAACCTGGCTCAGTTGCACCCTGAGAACTGCTTTGCAACCATAGCCTCCTTATGATCGGCCTGTGTCCCAGGAGTTTCCAAGAGTGGGACTTACATGTGTGAGCCAAGAATGGATACTGGTGGTTTAGAGAATATGTGAGGGTATCACAAGGTGTGGTCACAGAGGGCAGTTCTCCTCTCAGCCTCACCTCATTTGTTCCTCAAAAGTTCTCTTGGGCTTCCTACTGTCTACTGGTTTCCTTTAGAACAGGTTTCCTTTAGTGTTACAGGGAAAGAGTTAGCACCCAAGCAGTGTCAGACTTCCTGTGTCCTTGGACCTCATTCATCAATGTCCCGGACTCTGAACATGCTCCCCTCTACCCATCATCGTGAGGGCAGCACATCAGCCCTCAACTCAGCCTCAAAGGGTGGGAGCAGCTGCTGGACCATGCTCATGGTCATGGTAGTATCAACAGCTGTGAGTGACTCTGTGCCATGTCCCACTGGCCTATACAATAGCTACAATCTGTTCTGCAATAGACCAGGTGGTATTGTCCTCAACACTATGAGGTCAGAGTAGCCATAGGATGGGCTTTGGGTATCTGTCACGCCTCCCTGGCATGGCATATGAGTCCATCGGGGCTCAGATTACCAGATGTACTGCCTAGCCGCTTCTGCCACACACTCACACAGCTCCGCACCAGCTCCTACTCTGGTCCTCCTGGAATATAGCTGCCTGTCTTCCTCACAGTCACTTCTCTGTGCTCCAAACCTGCTTCTCAGTCCTGTGCCCATGCCCAGGGTAATAGCCAGCTCCTGCTGGAAGATGAGGTGAGCAAGACAGGATCTGCACCAGGGTATGTGTCAGTATCTGGGCCTCTTACAGGCTTGTCCTACAGCATTGATTTTTTTTGGAACCCTCATTAGGGCTCCCCTATGCCTGCAGCCTTATGTCTCTGTCTATGTCCACGACTATGCCTATGGCCTTTGTCTTGCCTGGACACAAGGCAGCCTGACCACTGCATAAGCTTAGGCTGTGATGCATAGGACCCTGTTGGCTCCCTCTAGAGATGCTGTAAATGCTGGCACACCAGGCCCAGAAGGCAAGGCAAGAGAGGAGAGCCCTTATGATCAGTATCTCCTTTTATATATTATCCTAGGGACAGGAGGAAGAATGGAGGGGACAAAAACCTTCTTCTCATGGCCATGTAGGCTTAGATGGATAAAACCCAAAGGTGCCTGAGAGTCTGGTGTCCCCAGAAGTTCTAACTCAGGTTGAGGTTGGGAGTTACCCTCCAACTGCTGACTAGCCTTCATATTTCTGGTGAACATAGTGTTCTGTGTTGCAGCTCACAGTAACTCTATTGCCAATGTGATCCACATATCCTGCATGGGCTGGCATAGACTGGTCTCACTTATAGCCTAGCCCTTTCCCACCTATGAAACACCCACCACCAGGTAAAACATTTTAGGCCTCTGAAGTTATCATTCCAAGGTATAAAATGCCATTTTCCATAGCTTTTCCTTGTACCTGGTCACATAAGGCATTTCAAGGCTTGTACACACTGTGGCCAGCAGTTGGCTGGCTTGGCTAGGTTTCTGAAGTGAATGTCTCTATGGGATCTGCTCTTGGGTGCTGCAGACAGCAATGACTAGGAGTTCCAGGGTCCTTCCTTAGTCCCTGACACTGTCTGTCCCCCGGGAGACACCTTACATCATGTCAGCCAGGCCCAGGGCTGTGTGTTCCTTGACAGCCCAGGTGATGGGTGTGTTGTCCCTGTTCCACCTCATCGTGCACTTGATTGCAACTACCATCGATCCAGCTGACACCAGTGTCCGACTCAAAAAGGACTACTCAGAGCCTGTGCCGACTTTCGACCGGTCCAAACACGCACATGTGATCCAGAACCAGTACTGCCACCTGTGTGAGGTTACTGTGTGAGTGGGGTATCTGCTGAGCAGTGGGGCAGGGTTGCTTTTAGGAGTCTGGGTGTAGAGTACTGCTGACCCACAGCCCCACAGTCGACCAGCAGATCCTGCTGTTATTGGGCACTGGCCCTTTGTGGCACTCTATGGAGGGCTCAGTCATGTGTTCACAGCCTTCCAGCCTTCCAGGAGGTACACTGCCCTACCCTATAGACTGACAGTTCTGCCTTCTAGTTCCCAAACCCCTCTCCCTAGGGATGAAGACTGCATGAGAGACCCAGTGTGCCATTCTCAGGTCCTATTGTACACACAGGCCCTTCTTTGTAGTAGTGGTCGGTGGGCAAGTGTGCCACTTCCATGTGGTTTTTCTGATAAACCTCACATCCCCAACTGGGAAGGAGGGAGGGCAATTTCAGCTGATACCTGGTGGATATCAGGACCTGAGGAAGGCAGCACACTGACTTGGCTACAGGAAGGCACTGTAGGTACTGGGTGAGATACCAGCCTTTAACTCCTAGGTTTTCAGGCTCCCATCTAGCAAACAAGCCTACCTACAGGGAAGTCCACAGTCTGCCTTACAAAAACAATGCCCATGGGCTCAGGCTCATCTCTCTCCCAAGATGGCCTTGTCTTTCCTATAGGCTTCCAGTGCCCTATTCAGATGGAGGCCCCACCCTCCATTCCATGGTAGACATTCAGTTCCCTTGGTGCATTTGGGGCCAGCAGGCTGTTTCTCCCAATTTCTCTCCCAGGAGCAAGAAAGCCAAACATTGCAGCTCCTGCAACAAATGTGTCTCTGGCTTTGACCACCACTGCAAATGGCTGAACAACTGTGTGGGCAGCAGAAACTACCGGTGAGGCACTCTGAGGGTCAAGGCTGTGACCCAAGGGAGGGATCTGTGGCCTGGGAGTCATAGGAATAGATGGCAGGTGACAGAGTGAGGGGGCTGTCAAGGCTGGGAACAGCACAGGAAAAGGGTGACCTTTGGGCCATGTCTCTGTTTCCAGCTATCGCAGAGCTTAGTGCCCATGTTCTGCTGGTTCTGATATGTTGGTGGGGTTGTTCCTGAACATGTGGAGCAAGCTCACACTCACAAAGTCCATCATTAGAGAGCTCATTATTGACAGTTGGTCACACCCTGGCTGAGCCTTCTAAACTTCCTGCTTCAGGCCTATCTACCTTCTCAATGCCATGACTACCAACCCAAGAACAGTGGCTAGACTCTTGAGCACAGGAATGAACATCTAGGCCACCCTCAAGCATTGCCTTGGTCATGAGTGCAGAATCCAAAAAGCTATTGGGCACCAGGTCAGGGTGTAGGACAGTAGTGCTCAAACTTCCTACTGCTGCAACTCCCTAATACAGTTCTTCATGTGTGGTGACCCCCAACCATAAAATTATTTTCATTGCTACTTCATAACTGTGATTTTGTTACTGTTATGAATCATAATGTAAATATTTTTTGAGATAAAGGTTTGCCAAAGGGGTCTCTACCCACAGGTTGAGAACCACTGGCCTAGGCTGTCCATCAGCCTTGGGAGTCCTGAAGATGAACAGGGTATAGTAGCTCCTTACCCCAACCCCATGCCTTGCTCTGCCCTGACAGTACATTGGGCTGTGGGGTCTCTGCCATCCATCCAGTGAAGTGCCTGGAGCCACAGATTTAGGTTTAGATACCTTCCTGATTGAGCTTTTGAGCTTGAAAAAAAAATGCAGCCACTGTTACTAGGCATTCCAATGTGGTGTGTCACCATGGTTCTGGCAGTGACTGGGTTAGCCAGGAGACCCTTGACCACAGTTCCTTTGAGTGTCTCACACTGACTTACAGAGAATCAGGAGGTTCTTCAACTAACCAAGCATTTCTAGGAAGGCAAATTGGAATAGGTTAAGGGTGTGGCCTGCCCATGAGTCAGGGGAGAGGACAGAAAAAAGGCACACTTAATGTGCATGGTGTTGAGAGATAGCCTCTGTGTGGTGAAATTGGGGTTGGGAAAGAGCAGAGGGTGATAGGTACCACCCATTCTCACTAGATAGCCCTTGAGCCTTAACATCTTCACTTTCTGTCCCCTCATTCTCCAGGGTCCAAGAAAGCATGAGAGGGGACAATGGCATTAAAAAACATTTTAAAATTTATTTCTATTCCATGTATATGGATGTTTTTGCTTGCATGTATGTCTGGGCTCCTCTTGGCCTTGGAGGCCAAAGGAGGGCATCATATCCCCCTGGAACTAGAGTTACAGACAGGAACCATGTGGGTGCTGGGAACTGAATCCTAGTCCTCTGGAAGAGTAGTCAGTGCTCTTAACCACTGAATCATCTCTCTAGCCCTGCAATAGCATTTGGCACCAGGGTTGAACAGAAGCCCTGAAAGAGAGTCCCATGTCTCATAGTCCTAATAAACAGGAAGCCAAATGGGTCTTTCAGAGTGGGGTGCAATAAAGGCTGCAGGAGGTCAGTCCAGTGCATGGGAAGGTAGTGAAGGAAGAAGAGTGGGGGGAAGGGAGGAAGAGAAGGAAGAGGAGGAGGAGGAGGAGGAGGAGGAGGAGGAGGAGAAAGAAGAAAGGCTGTGATTCCTGAATGGCCATGATTAGAGCGTGCTTGGTGGAAGAGGTTCTGTCTGCCTAGGTGATAGTCTGCCATCTTGGGGATTAACTTTTCCCATCGGATTGGAATGATATTCTTGTCCAGACTGCAGGATGGGAGGATATGAGGGCTCAGGCAGAAGGCTGTAGGGAATGTGGAGCACGATCAATACAATCAGGAGCCAGCATCTGCCTAGGATATGTGAAAGACAGAAGAAAGAACACAAGAGGGAAGAGTAGAGAAGGCACCCATGGAAGAGTTTGGGTTCTGTGCTTCCATGAGATTGCCCACACCAGACCTGTGTGTTGACCTCATATGCTTGGCTAGGTGTTAGTCTGTCCTGACCTCTCGCTCGCTCATCTCTGAGCAGGATCTCACTCCTCTCATGCAGGTTCTTCTTCTGCTCTGTGGCCTCAGCTGTAGTTGCCCTGCTTGGCGTGATGGTTATCTTGTTGTACATCTTCATCCAGTACTTTGTCAACCCCAATGAGCTTCGCACAGACCCTCGGTATAAAGGTACCCTTCTGATGCTTAGGGACTGCTTCTACCTGGTCCCCATGTGCCAAGGGTTAGGCTTCCCAGTATCACCCTCCATGTTCCCTCACTCTCCAGTTGACCTGAGCTCCTCTGAGACCTAACATCCAGGGATTAGAGTGAGGTATACCCTGACCCTTCTGTCCTTTCAGTCAGTCTTGAGCACCTAGACAGTGGACCCTTTAGCAGTGCTGGGTGGAGAAGGCAGGAGCTTATCTTGTAGGACACAGCTACTTATAGAGATGAACAGCAGAAAGTGGAGCTATTACGTTGAGCCACAGACTCTGACAGGAAGCTCAGAGATTATATGAATAAATAGGTCCAGAAGCACAAGTCCATGGCACAAATGTCTGAAATAAGAGAGAAAGGGGGTGGGCTGAACATGGCCTCCAAAGTGTCTGAGTCCTGACCCAGACCTGAGGTAGCACATTATTTGGAAAAAGGATCTTTGTGGATATGATTAGAAATTCTGAGGTGAGGAACCTGTCCTAGGCCCCTCATGTGCCCAAATCCAATGCTAATGTCCTCAGGAGAAACAAGAGGAAATTCTGACTTGCAAAGGACTTATGGAGGTAGGAGGCGGAGGCTGGGCCATATGACCACAAGCCCGAGAGGGCCTGTGGCACTCAGAGCAGGAAGAGGATGGAAGGGTTGTCTCCTGGAGCCTCAGAGAGAGGATAATCTGATTTTAGGCTTGTGGTTTATAGATATGAGAGAATTATTGTACTGTGTAAGTGCCACCAGCTTATGGCCATTTTTCACAACAGCCCCAAGATACTGACCCAGGTGACTGAAGTGGGATGTTCCTTTGCTGGTTATCCTATGGACCAAGGGGAAGCCACCCATCTCTGTTCTAAGCATCACAGGCATTTGCCCAAGTCCTGCAACAAGAGATGTTAGGACCTGTATGCCGCTTATCTCAGGGCATCCCTGGAGCCAACATGACAGGATGTTCTTTTAAGAAAGGGCTCTATGAGTTCCACGTGGAATCACCTCGGCTGCTGCATCCCCTGTGACCATTTAGAACTTCCTGGTACTCCTGAGCACTCTCTGGAAGCCACCACTACGGCCTCTTCATTAGTAACGTGTCCTTTCCTAAAGACTCGCCATGCTGAGCAAGCAGAGAAAAGGACAAGGAAGGAAAGAGGGATATTCAGAGTGGTGGTGACCTGGCTGGGGCTATTGACCACGGCATCAGATGTGGTGCAGGGAAGTGGATCACATCTCTCCTTGGAGCAGACTTGTGGTTCTGAGTGTGGGTGGAGGTTACTTCCTGGCTTGCCATTCCAGGACCCTACAGAGTCCATGGCCTGAGTTCAGAATCTTATGGGCTGGAGTTTACGCCATCACATTTTGAGTTGACATCCCATGGCCCAGCCCACAAGGCAGTATGTAGTATTACCTTTTCAGATAGCACACCTAGGAGTCCATTCTAGAAAGAGCTAAGAACCTTTCTGGAATGTGATATGGATCAAGATGCTTGGGTTTGGAGTCTAGTCCTCTACTGTTCTGTCACACAACCTAGGAAATCCCTGTGGTCTTCATTTTGAGGGCCATGGTGGACAGTGCTCAAGAAATGCACCAAGAGGGCTCAGTTTTCATTGATGTCTGTGAGGTGATTGATCTGAAATAAAAGGTCAAGGCTTCGGGGAAGGGCAGGAGAGGGACTGGCCAGTGGGCCCATGGGACCCACAGTAGAGCAGGGCAAATACATGGCAACAGCGCATCCGTTGGCTGGCTGTCCTCACTCGCCCTAGCAACCTCTGTTGCTCTGCTTACCTGACTACAGGTGCTGCAGTGTGGGTAGGTGCTAGATGGACATGTCTCTTTGTCTTCATAGAGATCAGCTCTGAGAACACATGGCTGCTGTTCCTCCCACTGTGGCCTGTGCCTGTGAAGATCCCCCTGGTCCTTTTCATCGCGGCGGTGGTGCTGCTGCTAGCCATTGCCAGCTTTGTGCTGCTTGGGCACCTGCTCCTCTTCCACGTCTACCTGAGTATGTACCCACTCTAGACTTGCCACTTTAGCTCGCTCGTTCTGAGGCAGACAGTGCTTTGGGAAGCCTTGCCAGACATGAGCTCATAGAAAAAGGACAGACTACAGGGAGGAGATACTAAGAGAAGGTCAGCAAGTCCAGCAAGGAACTGAGCTCATGTTCAAAAGCCTGCAGAAAGCACAGGAGAGACTAAAATACACAGAGACAAAGGAATATGACTATTATGCAAGAATAGGCCATTAGGACCAGGAGGATTTAGGAGAGTACCAAGTAGAAATTATAACAATGAAATGTAAGCTCAAGGGACTAGTTTTCCTCATCCAAATAGAGCCAAAGAGGAGGCTCTATATCCACAAATGTGTGTTGGACACCTGGTTGCGCTGTTAAGATCCTCTGCCTGAGAAAGTGTTTCTGTTGAGTTAGAGCCACCTCCTCCCCTGGGCGTATGGTTTGCTCTGTGGGAACTGGCCATGAAGCCTCTCTGGTTTCTGGCAGTGGTAGGCCAGGCTGGAGGGCAGCAGGGCCACTCCTGCAATACTAGTTTCTTGCAGGTTGACTTACCCAAACCTCAAGGATGGTACAGACTCTGCCTGTGGCTGTGAGGACAGTGCCTGGCAGAGTGCTGACCTCCTCCCATGGAAAGACCTCACGTATGTCCAATGGTTCTTACCAGCAGCAGCATCCTGAACCTACAGAGCATGCTTCTTAATCTGTGAGTGTGTTTATTAGCACACGTTCCTGACGTCAGCATTATAATAACTTGAAACTTAGACCCTCCTCCTCCTCCTCCTCCTCCTCCTCCCCCTCCTCCTCCTTCTCCTCCTCCCCCCTTCCCCCTTTTCCCCTTCCTCCTCCTCCTAATATAGTGAAAACCCCTGAACTAAATCTTGTTGGTGCAATTTATGCTTTAAGGTTTTTGTTAGGAACAACCTGGTTCATTTCTATTTTCTTGTGTTTAGATGTATTTGTAGAGTGGGGTAGAACCAAGTCTCAAACCTACATCAACTGAACCTATATGTTTCAACAGAACACCATGTGCTATTTTATCAGTAACAAGGCTGGCTGAGAGGGCACCTCATATTCCCTGTGACTTAAACCCTCAGAATGGTGCATCTTTTGGGTTACCTTTAAAACTTTCCATTGCTTTTATAAATAGGAATTTATAAAAAACAAAACATTTACTCTCTAAGCTTATCTGGAATGTTTTCTCACGTCTAAATGCTTTCAGATTTATCAGTAATGCCACCTTTCCTAGCACCTGACCTCAGGTTGAACTCATTTTCCTCTTTATCTGGTTGTCCCCTTCTCTCAGAGTTAGGTCCAGCAGCTGGTGTCACGTCCAGTGCTTCCTATGCAACCTACACCTATAGGCCTGAAGAATACTGGGGCCCAGGAACACAAATTTGGTGTTAGCCACTTTTCCTCCACTTCATAGTAAGGACTTTGTGCCTACCATGTGAGGCGCAATGGTGCCTACCAATGTGGGGGGCAATTCTGCATCTGTGGATGAGGTTTGAAGGCACCCACATTCTGGTAGTGAGGGGGACAATGGCATTGAGGCACATGGTGTGAGCAGAACTTTCCTGAGACATCCTTTGTGGACAACAGACTGCAGTGAAATTGCAGTGAGGTCTGAATGTGCTGAGTCCAGAGTAGTGAGCACAACAGGCTTCTTCCCACAGAAGGCCCCTAAAAGGGATTGTGTCCCCTGGAATATGCCAGACACCGTGAGCTGCTTTGTCCCTTCTCTGCCATGTATGAGACGCTCAGCAGCAAGGACCCAGGAGCTATCAGCTGTCCCTGTCTGTACTCTTTTATATAGCAACTCTTTAAGACTAGGTTCTGGGACTGCACAGTCTAGACCACACATGAAGCTACCAAAACTGAAGCTTCAGAGCTTAAAACCTGCACCTCTTCCTCCTTCACCCCAGAACCCCTAGGAGGCCAGACAATCTGGGTGCATTCCCTGTTGCTCATTTAGGCCGAAGAACAGCCTGAGGACATGCTGACAGCCACATCCTGAGTCTTAATGACTCATCAAGCCAACGGATGGGGGGGGGGGCTAAATATGTCACACAACACTTCACTGGTGTCAGAAGAGTTGTGTCATTGACACTCATAGACCCAAGCCCCGCAGATCCACACGCTTCCTGAGGAGTGCCAGTTCCAAGATCCAGTCAGGATTTTGGCTCCCGGTTCTCTCATCTTCTACCACCATGCCTGCCCTCTCAAACAAGCTTCATAGACAAAGATACACCATAGCAGCTTTTGTCATGACCAGAAAGAGTGAGGAGGCCTCACATGACCCAAGAAAGGCAGACGTGTGCAGTGATGCCCTGTAACTGTCCATGATATCGTTACCTGGCTCTGTGAACGTAGACCTCAGGCTGAAAACTAAAGAAACCAAGGGCTCCATGCAGGGAAAACTCCTCCACAGATGGAGAGGAAGGCATGGTGCAGAGAGCCCTGACTGGATCTTTAAGGCCCTGGCACTGGACCAACATATGCTTCAGAGGAAGGCACAGACAGGAACTTCTGATATGGCATCTCTGATTTGACTCCCAGGACAACTTAGACTGCAAGGTGACTTTTCTAACCTGGAATTCCTCCACTTTTTTTTTTTTTTGAGACATCCTTGCCTGGCCTGGAACTCATTATGTAGACCAGGCTGGACTAGAACTCACAGAGATCTTCCTGCCTCTACCTCTAGAATGCTGGAGTTAAAGGTGTGTACCACCACATCTGGCTTCCTCCACTTCTTGACAGCACTTCCAGCTTCAAGGTGTAAGAGACTGGCCACTTACTAGCTTTTGGCCCCAAGATCCTTGATGCTGAAAATGACTTGTTCATAGTACTCAGGGTCAACCAGGCCTCTCAGGAAAGGGTTGTTATGCTGCTATACCAGCAAGGGGAAGGTGGCAGAGGCCAAGAGAATATTGCTCAGCCCTCATGCTCAAGTGCCCTCAGCAATCTGCTTTTCCCTCCCAGAACACTGACTTGGACTTGCTTTCATCTCTCCTCTCCAGAAATGTAACCAAGATACGTGATAGCCAAGGTAATCCCATTGGTCAGCTGCTCTGAAGTCAAAGGCCTGTGAATTGGCTGGAAATGTGTGTGGGGTGGCCACAGATCTAGACTTCTGTTCTTGTAGCTGCAGATATGGGCTGGCTTTTTTGCCCATGGTGAGCTGCAGTATGCCTGCACTGTTCCTTATATGATGGGTAGGTGATTCATAGAGAGCCAGATTGCTGTACTTCCTGAAGAATGGCATGCTTCCTTTTGTAACCTCTGAGAGAAGGTGGTGCTAAAAGGGGCCTGCCATGGCCATGAGAGCATTTCTAGCTCAGGGCATTCTCTGCGGGCCAGGGACATGCACAGAATTGGTACCGAAATTGCTCTTCAAAAGTGTCCAAGTGTACCATCTGCTGCACCACACTCCGGAGAACAAGTCAGGAGCAGCCAGCCACTGAGAGCTGCTGCCACCACTGTTACTTATGACACTAAGATGGGCTCAGAGGGCTGAAAGCAGGACAAGGTGGAACTGGTGGCAGCTGGAGCTGGAGTTATATTAAGGATAGGGCTGTTTACAATAAAGGGACTGGAAAGTGTTCCTCTAAGATGGAAGAATTGGAGTGAGACTGAACATGTTGAGTTCAGGTCATTTAGACATCAAATAGTTCCAGGACATGTTGGCTATTGTTATATACTATTAAGACTGCTCCAAACTGTAGCTCTCACTCATCACCACAGCTCAGCTGGGTGCTCTACTCAGGACATCCACACTGGGCTTCAGTGGTCACAGTGCCACCATAAGATTCTTCTTCTGAACTCCCTGCAAGGTGACTGGCAGATGTAGCTCCTCTAAGTCACTGATCTGCCACCTTGCTCTGATCCTTCCTGGGTGGACTGCAAAGTGTCTCACAACAGTGACTGGCTTCATGTAAGGAGCAGGACCACAGAGTACCCTGGCCATGGACAGGGCTCACTGATAGCTCAGTCTGTAGATCTAGCCCGCACTCAAGGACTGGATCTCAAGGTATGAGCATCTATGTGGATTGCCCTCTATGAGGCACCACTTTGAATATGGGCTGGAGATTCAAGGGCCCAATGCCCAGCAAGTGTAGGAGGCTAAAGTACCTGCAATAGAGGGATGAGGGTGTGTGTGGTCATGCTGGGGGAGGAATAATGTGTTGAACCCAGTAGAGAAAGGGCAGGATCCATACACTGCCAGAACTGGCTGTTGGTTGGTGCCCGGTCACCCTAAAGGACACACAGGGACATTACTCAGTTTTGGATGTGCTCATCAGTTGACTTGAATGGCATTTCCAAAACTCTTGGAAAGAAGGGAGGTTTTAATTAGAATGTTAGCAAGTACAGGCCCACAGGCTTACTCTGACATGGGTGCTAGAAGCTGATGAGACTGGATCACAGCTGGGTGGGCCTAGGGAGATTCATCACTCCAACAACACAAAGCCAAGTTCTGTAAGAGCTCTGGATTGGGGCAGCCCATACCATCTGCTTCTTGAGCTACAGATAGGGCCATTGGGTGGTCCTGTAGCTCCTCAGAAATACTTGTAAACCACCTGCTCTTGTGTGTTGATTTTGAAAAGTCAGACCCCTCCCTAGAAGCACAGAGCTGAAATAGACACTTAGAGCTCTTTCCTCGAAAACACATCTGGTCTTCTTACAATAACCCAAATTGCTTCTGCTAAGTGTGGTTGCCAAAGTCTCAGCCTGAGCTGGGGTTGCTTGCCATGCCTCACATTTGTTGGTAGCCCTGTGTTCTCTGAGGCAGAGCATCTAGGGTGAGGTGGCTGCATGGGGTAGAGGGAAGCAGGCATAGGGTGGTAGGCAGCTGGCAAGGTCAGCTCAGGGATTCAGTACTCCTACCAGCAGGACTTCTATTGCCTCTAGGCAGCTACTGCTCTGAAGATGAAGGTTTCTCGAACCCTTAGACAGAGTAGTCTCCCCTGAGCCTAGCCTCTGGGCGCCATCCCAGGAGGTTCTGGAGTCATCTGTCATGATGCAGAAAGCAGGGGACCCATGAGAGGTGCCACAATCCAGTTCCTCTGGGACACCCACCTCTGAGCTTAATTAGAGGCTTTGCTTTGGGCAACAGGAAACAGTTAAATCCTGTCACTCATAAAATATGCAGAGCATAGCTTGTCTGGTCTGAAATACCTGGTCCTCCTGGTCTTGGGACATGCAAGGCAGGGCAGTCACTCCCTGGCAACAATTACTATTTTTAAATACTTTACATTGGATTGGATTGCCATATATTGGATTGTCATATAAAAATGATAAAAGGTAGATTACTGAATCGAAAAAATACTTTAAAAAAGGAACTACTTGTTTTAAATAGGATAAGTAATGAAATTTTTTTGTCTGAGTTTATCAAATGTTACTGGACTGGACATTGTTATATATTAATGGAGTTTTTTTGCCTGAATCTGTCAAATGTTAATGGACTAGACATTGTTAATGTAATCTTGACTGTGTATATTGTATATACTTATTGGGTATAATTTTTCTTATATTAGTTATAAGCCTTTTTAAATTTTAGACAAAAAAGGGGAAATGTGGTGGTATTGTGTTCCCCGAAATATTGTGCATGCTAATAAACTTATCTGGGGTCAGAGAACAGGACAGCCACAATATTAAACATAGAGGTTAGGCAGTGGTAGCACACGCTTTTAATCCTAGCATTCCAGAGACAGAAATCCCTCTGGATCTCTGTGAGTTCAAGGTCACAAGGATACAGCCAAGCATGGGGACTCACGCCCTTAATCCCAGGAAGTGAGCCTTTAATCCCAGGGAGTGATGGCAGAAAGCAGAAAAATATATAAGGCGTGGAGATCAGAAACTAGCAGCATTTGGCTGGTTAAGCTTTCAGGCTTTTGAGCAGCAGTTCAGCTGAGATTCATTCTGGATGAGGACTCAGAGGCTTCCAGTCTGAGGAAACAAGACCAGCTGAGGAACTGGCGAGGTGAGGTAGCTGTGGCTTGCTCTGCTTCTCTGATCTTCCAGCATTCACCCCAATAACTAGCCTCAGGTTTGATTTTATTAATAAGACCTGTTAAGATTCGTGCTACATCGTGACATTGTGCATGGCTGCTGGATGACCCTGTCCTTTTCTGCCCTTCCCTTTGCAGTTGCCAAGAACCTGAGCACATTTGACTATATGGTGCAGACCCGATTCCAGAGGAATTCACGTTCAGCAGAAAAGAAAGAGCCACCTCTGCGGAAAAAGGGGAACCTTTCCCAGGTGTGCTGGTCCTTTTGTGTCATGCTCGTGGGAGGGCTGAGCCAGTGTGTGGATGCACCCTATACAGGGACCTCCCAGCTTTGCACTGAGTTTCACTGTTGATGCTGTTCTAAGACTCATTGGAACTGTGTAGTCTGTAGAGTGTCTGTAGATACAGTACTTAGTGTGTATGTCTGCATAGTACATAATGTGTATGTGCATATGTGCTCATGTATGGTATGTGTTTCCATGTGGTATGTAATGTATGTAGTGCAAGGTATAAGTGTAGTTTGGTTGTGTCAATGTATGGTATGTGTGTCTATGTATGGCATATAATGTATATATGTTATGTGTGTAATATGTGATGCATGTATATGGTGTGTGATATGTCTTTGTGGTGTGGGACGTTTTGTGTTGTGTGTAGTGTGTTTATGTGACATATGGTGCATTATGTGGTATGTCTATTTGTTGTATATGGTATCTGATGCATCTGTGTAGTATGTGGTATGTCTGTGTCTATGAGTTGTGTTTGTGAGGTATGTGATGTGTATGGTATGTGGTATGCCTGTGTAATGTGTGGAGTGTATGGTGTGTGAGGTGTTGGTATATTTGTGTGGTGTGTCTATATGGTGTATTGTGTGTGAGGCATTAGTATGTTTGTGTGATGTGTCTATGTGGTGTCTGGTATGTGGTGTATGTGTTGTGACTGTGTGGTGTGTGAGTGTATTTTGTGTGACCACATTCCAGGTCAAGCTTCATTCTCAGGAGTAGTTAGCCAATACAAATCAGACTCCATTTCTTTTTTGTTTTTTTGTTTTGTTTTGTTTTTATTTGTGTGTGTTTTCTTTTGTTTTTAAGAAAGAGAAAGAACATGAAGTTGAGGGGAATCTGGGAGGAGTTGGGGGAGAGGAAAGAATTTGATCAAAGTGTATTGTATGAGATTCTCAATGAAAACAAAACAAAAAGAGGAGGAGGAAGAAGAAAGCACACGAACTCAGATCACAGAGGAGGGAGTAACCCATTGAGTGACACCAGGATTAACTGAATACTGAAGCCAGAAAGTATCAGCACAAGAGAAGACTGTAGTGAGGCAAAGATATTCAGTAAATACAGGCAAAACCACATAAAGCATCATCAAACTAACACGTCGTAAATGCACACAAAGGATTGATTGTACACTGAGAGTAAATGTGTGTATTCTAGAAATGCATTTGTTTAACATCTGTGAATCAATTATTGTAATAAAATACTAATGGGATAAGGGTCAAGAACCTTTTAATCATATCAACCCACACAGAAAATAAATGAGGACTCTGTTAAAACCCTATTTCCAGTTAAAAGAAAATACCCACAGCCCAAGAATAAAATGAAAACTATGAAGAGCTCATTAGTCTGTCATTTTCATGGTGGAAAAGTGACCCTTGCCCCGCCTGCTGGGAACAGGCAAGGACATCCACTCTCACCGCCTTTGATATCATACTAAAGCCAGCGCAATGATCGCTGAAGGCATACCGTGAACAACAGGAAACTGTTTGTGGGCAGCATAATCCTTAAAAACGTGTAAGCTTGTAGATTAACAGCTTTACAACAGCCATGTGCCAGAGGGATGGAATAAAGGCCCAGACTTACACCTTTCGTTTCTGATCAGCTTGTGTTGAACAAAGATAGCAAGGTTAACTGGGGAGATGTGCTGGCTTCCCTGCCTGGCCCTGAGCTGAATATACCCAAGACTGAAGACCATTTTGAGTCTTTCTTTATTCCTGCAGAAAATCCAAAGCCAACCACAGGTCTAAGTTTGAGACCTAAATTATAACATTTATAGAGAAAACAAAATCTTTGTGACCTTGAACTCAGCAATTTCCACCAATGCAACAGTAAAATCAATGTCTAGGTAAATGATACAATGAAATGTATGAAATATAAAATTTTATTTTCAAAGATTGTCATTAAGAAAATGAAATGGAAGCCATTGTCAAGGTGTTTCTAAACCACACACTTGTACCAAAAATACTAAGAGCTTTCTAATGAAATGGCCCTAAATCTGATCAAATCCTTTGCTGGAGAGAACATGGATGGCAAGGAAGCCTATGGAAAATGGTAGACATCATCTGGTAAGACCATAGGATTCCCACACACCCAACAGTTAACCTCCTCCAAAAGGCCCGACAGTACCAATGTTAGTGACAAGCTGAGGGACCAGACAGCTCGTCCCAAGGAGCAGAAATGGGATTACAAACTCACCGGTAGTGAAAACAGCAAGTGGTCCTCAGAAAGTTGCATAAATACTGCCACCCCGGCCAGCTGTTGGGCCCTCTCCCACCCAGCCATGGAGAAAGGAAGGCATGTGCACATAAAAACGATTCTGAGGGCCGGGCGGTGGTGGCGCACGCCTTTAATCCCAGCACTCGGGAGGCAGAGGCAGGCGGATCTCTGTGAGTTCGAGGCCAGCCTGGTCTACAGAGCGAGATCCAGGAAAGGCGCAAAGCTACACGGAGAAACCCTGTCTTGAAAAACCAAAAAAAAAAAAAAAAAAAAAACGATTCTGAGGAAGAGTGCTGTCTGAGGAGGGAGCTGTTCCCATGACGACCTCCCTAGGTGCTGTCTCTCAGAGTTGAAGACAGACTCTAGTTGTGAGCAGCAGGCAGGAAGCCCACCATAAGCAGCTTCTTGTGTCACTTCTGCGTTTTCATTTGCTCTGTAGGAAAAGAGTAACAACTTGAGCTGGTCTCAGGCCCCACCGAGGTGAGTGGCAGCTTCCTGGTGGTATTTTATCTGAAAACAGCTGTTGCCTCTTAGCTCAAAGGGCTTTAGAAAATAGTTCATTTGTGGTGTGATGTTTAAAATGATGGAATGACACAGTATAAAATACGGTTGCTTCACTTAGCTTCCTGACATCTATAGTTGTTTATGTAGTTGTGCAAACTGAGATATGTCCTTCACAGCTGTACTAATGCATAAAATAAGGATGCTTCTTTGTGTGCATGCATGTTCATGAGTATGTGTGTGTACATGTGTATAGAGGCCAAAGATGGATGTCTTCCTTGGTTGCCTTCTGTCTTATTTTTTGAGACCCAGTATCTCTGTTTCTCTTTGTCTCTCTGTTTCCCCAGCCCCACCCCACCCCATTTTTGTCTTAGCTAGGTTGGCAGGCCTGTGAACCCCAATGCTGAGATGGCAGGCATGTGCTTCCACACTCAGCTTTTCCCACGAGTGCTGGGGATGAATTCAGACCCTCATGTTTGCAGGGCAGGAGCTTTCCCACTCAGCTGTTTTCCCAGCTCTGTTTGTTCGTATAATACATCCATGTACAGCCACCCGGGCAAATGGGTACCTATCAGTCTCTGACCGTGTTTGGCTTCGATTATAAGATCCTGAGAGTCAGAGCTTATCGTTCAATTCCATCTTGAGTCAAGGAAACACTGAGTAAGAATGCTCCCTAGTGACAGCTCTGCCTGAAAGCAAGGCACATGCCACCAGAAACATGAGACAGAAATTGGCCCTAACACAGAGGGGAGACACACATTTTATAGTGTTCTCTGTTCTCATTGTAACAGAGACATGGTTATACACACTAACTGAATGTTCCACCTTGGTTTTCTGTTGTTCTTTGCTCCTCACACCATAAGCCCAAATGCATGTGCGTTTGGAGGAGTTACCATACAAAGTATCTTTCAGACTTGTGGATGTTGCCTTTTTACTCTCTCGTCTCTGTCACCTCATCTCTAGGGTCTACTAACACAAACTAAAGGAAAAACAAGTAGACATTCACTTGAGCCTCCTCAGACAGACACACATGTGCAAACCCCCATCCAGCCCTCAGTCATGGTCCCTCAGCCAGGACACTGCAGTTGACCTTGTCTTCTGAGCAGGCTAGGAGCAGCTACTCTGGGTCCTCACAGGTTAGTGCCCTGCACAGGGCGGTCCTATATCTGCATCGTGACTTCTGTAGCTTCTTCCCTGCTGTCCAAGCCTCAGGGGACTCTGTCATGAGCACAGGACACTATTCTTCTGAGGGGAAAGCCATGGCCTCTCGATGAAAGGTAGCAAGAGGTGGCAGGCCAGAGGTAGGGACAAAATAGGGGATGGAAGAGAGAATCTCCACTCATGTCTGTTGGAGAAAGGATACATTTCCATGATTCTCTGAGAATCAGCATTAGACACTCCCTTTTCTTGAGGAAAAGCTGGTGTTTGTCGAGAGAGGAAGAGTGAAGAGGAACAGGCTGGCCCTGTGGCCCCTTCCTACCCTCTGTGCCCAGAAAGTTTCTATCTTACAGAAGCTTCCCATTAGTCAGCCCATTCCTCCCTACGGTTCAGGTTCAGAGGTACTCCAGGGCCCCAGGACATAACTGAAGTTTCACACTTCATTCAAGCAAATACTGAGAGTCGCTTTAGTTTTTCCGTCTATTGGTCAGTGAGAACAGCTTATTCTGAAAAAACAATGTCATTTTCTTTTAAAGAACTAATTTTTTGGTCTAAATTGCCTTTCTTAGAAACTTGATCGGCAATACTATTGTGTAGCCAAATCATTGGGAATGTTGGTTTAAAATGCTGCCTAGTCTTTTAAGCAGACTTCCAGAGTGTCCTCTCTCTCTCTCTCTCTCTCTCTCTCTCTCTCTCTCTCTCTCTCTCTCTCTCTCTCCCTCCCTCCCTCTCCCTCCCTCCCTCCTTCCCTCCTCTCCTCTCCTCTCCTCTCCTCTCCTCTCCTCTCCTCTCCCTCTTCCTGGAAGGCTGGCAAACCCTAACTGTGGCCATGACTATAGCGCCACTCCAAACCACTTCATTTTGTTTCTGATTACCAAGTAGATGCACATTATAGACAATTTTGGAAATTACAAAATTTTATAAATAAAACTTATTCCCTCACCCAAGTCTCCTGCCAGAGAGCATGGTTATTGTCTTAGTCTTATGTGGCACTGCACCAGTCACAAAGCACAAGTAAGTAACCATGGGATATAGGTATCAATTACAGTTATTGGTTAGTGGAGTATTCTGGCCCCAACTTCACAGAGCACTCTTTCTAATGGTTGGTAGACCATTTACTGGGAATATTTCCTCTAGCATCTGTATCTGTTGTGAAATATTCCATGAAATAGATGGATAGAGTTAGGAAGCAAACAGGAACAAAGAATGGGACTTTACATAGGAAGAATGTTCTTGTTTGACTTTGAGGGAGTTCCGGTCAGCTGCTGCCTTCCATGTGGTTTGAATTGGTTTTCTCCTGCTGCAGAAGACATTAGCACAAACTCATTGTCTCTATACACAGCTGGGTTCTCCAGTGTCTCACAGGCAGCATTACCCAGAGGGATTGAGGAAGAGTCTGGCTAAGTACATTCAGGAAGCTTCTGGAATTGACTTTTCCTGCTTTCAGGAAAGCATGTTGGCAGCATGGCTAGTGCCATCATTCTCCTATGTCGAGTCTCTGAGTTCTGCCTTCCTGTGCCTTAAGGTGGTTACACTAGAGCTCCCTGGATACTCCAGATCAGCCCTCTATGTTAGCTTGCTGGATCTGCTGCAAGAAACTCCCATGAGTTGGAGATGCTGAGGGTGGATAGGGTGACCTTTTATCCATTTGCAAAGACTGAAGATTAGACTTGGCAAAATAGAGGTCTGACACAGGGCCCACACAGTATGAGGATGTACCTTTCTATGTATACTACTGGCTAGAAGTCAGGGCCCATCACACTAGAATCCAATCATGGATTCCCACTGTGTAGTACACATGACTACAGCCCCAAGATGCTGGGATGAGATTCTTCGGCCTCAATTATGGGGACTCCCCCAAGCTGATGTGTCTGTCTTTTCTCTTCAGAGTGGAGCCCCAGAAGTTCCTGCTGTCTACTCTTTCACAGCAGTCAAGCATGTGTTTTAAGGCTCCAGCTCCAAAAGCAACTCCACAGTAAAGGTGACTATAGCGTGCCAACTGGGGCTTCAGGACACAGGCCTAAGTCACCTGTAGGTCCACAGTTCCCCCAACCTGAGGAGAGAGCAATGCACTGGACTCCTGTTTGACTGATATTAAGTTTTACAGTTGTGGGATGGTACTCAGGGGCTAACGAAAGTGAGAAACAGAAGGACAATGGAGTGACAGAAATTCTCAACCATAAGGGGTCTGGGGGACAAGAGGAAGTGGGGGTAGAAAATGAAGTAAAAAAGTCAAACCACTAAAACTGAAGCAACATTTGTACATGTTAGTGAGGCACACCGGAGGCTACAATTGTAACATACACCCGGAAATAAGATTTACAGTTAAGTGACTAAAACAGATGGTTAAGTGGCCAGTGATGTTCCCTGATGTAATGGCACAACTTACAAGTTTTTGATTTTGATATGGTACAAAATTAATATGAGAAACCATGCTTCTAATTTGGTATTTTGATCTTTTCCAGGGCTAGTGACAAGTATGAGCCTCTCTCAGGATGGCAGTATCAGGCTGTCAGCCCAAGATCATGAGGAGACACCTCTACTCTGTGGCACATGATGCTGCTGAGCCGTGCTCTTCAGTGGAGTATATGTATTACGTGTATTTTGGACTTAAGATATCTTCAATTTATGATGAGTTCCTCAGAATGCAAACCCCATTGTCATTCAAGAATCATCTATATAGAAGAATGTTAGCAATGATAGAAGCTAGGTGTTAAGTACATATGAATTTTCACTTTCAAATTTTCTAGATGTTTGAAAATTTTCACAATAAAATGTTGAGATATGAATTGGTAAAAATAAACATGGCAAAAGTTCATGTGTTATGTGTGTTATGTTGTGTATAATGTGGTCTATAGTACATAATGTATGTGTGGTTATTTTGTGTGATATGTGGTGTGTGATACCTATACTATCGCTGTATCTGTATGGTATATGGAGAGTTGTGTGTGTGGTGTTTGAGGTGTCTGTGATGTGTGTGTGTGGTGTGTCTGGAGTCTGATAAGTGATGTCTGCTGTATGATGTCTTTGTGGTATGTGGTGCATCTATGTGGTGTGTGATATGATGTGTCCTGTGGAGTGTTATATGTGATGTGTGTTATGATGTGTATGCTGTTTGTGTCTGTGTGTTGTATAATGCATCTGTGAGGTGTGTGATATGTCTATAATACATCTGTATGTGTCTGTGTGGTGCATGATATCTAACATGTGATGTGTGTGGTGTTTCTGTGTGGTGTGTGATGTATATGGTAAATGTATCTGTGTGCTGTTTGGTGTGTCTGTGGTGTTTGATGAATGTGGTATGTCTGTGTGGTGTGTGATGTGTATGTGCATGTGTGTCTGTATGGTGTATAGTGTGTGTGTGTTTACAAAGTCTCTGTCCTTTCCTGTGGAACAGTCCAAGAGAGCTGACTGAGTCAGACCCATCTGCACTTGTATCCCTCCTCTGGGGGCAGCTGCTAGTGGGTTCCTGGTGGTGGTGGCTGAAGAGGTATGAATTTTGAAAAATTTGAAGGTTACTGAGGCTTCATTTTGTGAGAAGGAATTCACTTTGCTTCAGTCACTAATGGCTTCTGAAAGAATGCTTCCTAATTTGCAGAGGGCTCCTCAGCTGCCTGGAGTGACCCTGAGGCTGCAGCAGAGTCCTCAGGGATTCTTTTATGGACCTTTCTTGACACATGGTAGAAATTCTGTTGTGGCCTGGCTGACCTACCCCAGACTCAGCCACTAAAAGTGATGCTGGGTTATGCCACATCATAGTAGGTAGCTCTGGAGCTTCCTTACTGCTTTCATGATTATGAGACCCCCTGTCCCTGGTTGGTATCATCCTGGTGTTATCTCAAGTGCTCCATCTCAGGAGTGTCTGGTTTTAGTGATGAGTTACTCAGGAACTCTAACCCACTGTGATGCTTGGTATGATGTCAAAAAGCAGCAGCTCACATCTAAATCCACAAATCCTCATAGGCTCCAGGCACGCTAGAAAGGACACTGAAGGTCATCAATGCCGTTAATGGGGAGTTCCACCTGCAAAATGGGGCTTCTGGCATGCCCCATCATGGATCTGAGTTGTGTATGAGTTTTCATGGATGTGAGAACAGCTTCATGGTACATGGTGCAGGGAACAGCACAGTGTCTTCATGGGGTCTTCTGGGGTCACGGGGAAAAGCATTTACAAAGGGGACAAAAGGTTACAACAATGTGTGATGAGTTCCTAACTATGAACTGTACCTGAACAACATTGCAGAGCTGATGTCTACAAGTATCCCCCTTCTCATCTAGTTGGGGCCCCAATGAAACTGTCATTTAAGGCCACAGTTCCAACCAGTGCTGCTGAGTGTGGCAACCAATTGCTGATATGTACCAGTACAAGTAGGTCTATGTCCCTCAGCACAATAAACTTACTGCTTCAATGGGATGGCTTTGCTGGGAGTCTCTCGGGCCACTGGGAGAGATGAAATCCACCTAGGAAGGATACGCCTGGTAAGTTTGCTCTGCAGCAATTCTTCTTGAACCCAGAGCAAAGATAGTCCAAAGTGGGATTGGATGTGACTGACCAGATCCTAATACATACATACCCCTAGCCTGCTGGAGTCTGACACGATCTCTCCCACTCACCAGTTGCTCTTGGGTCCATCCATTGTCGGGACCCCATACCTTCCACTAATGGAGCCTCAGCCAGAACCAGACTCTGGGAAGATCAGTGTAGCGCTCTTCTCCAGGCACAGGTATACCTGAGGCAGTAATAAGGCCAGTGCTGACAGCCCTGCCTTTGAAGAGCTTATCGGAGTCCATCCCCAGTTTCCCTAGAGTCTCACAGAGAAATTTTGAGGAAGCAAGGGACAGAATGTATGAAGTTGACTGTAGGTCACTGAGTTGACACTTGCATCCAGATAAGCTAGCACAGATATTCCTCTGCGTGTCCTGCAGCAGATAACCCATGCAGGTTGGAGGAGGAGCAGATTGAAACTCAGCCTCATCTGAGATGTACATTGCCTGTGTAGCCATTATCAGACTCTTGCTTATCTGTTATCAGGTATAATTCTGATAAGTTATAAATTCTCGTTGCTGCCGTTGTGGTGGTTAGGGCTAGATGATGAGACCTATCAACGTGGAAAAAGACCCAAGAGCTCACAGTTTTCACTCCACCTGCTGTGGGACAAATTTTCATCTGCATTTAAAAACATGAATGCCCAATACCTGACAGCAATATGCTAAAGTAGGCACAGTGATGTTAATGGATCCAGCCTCATAAATCTCTATCTAGTTCTAAATTTTTCCAAGTTAACTGTGTCCTTTCTAATGGGCACAAGTTGCTTTTCTCAGGCAAAGAACACAAATTATTATTGTGGGTTCAATAAGATATAGAAAATTTTGTTGTCTATATTAGGGAACCAAATTGCTGATTTGAATTTTTCACCCAGTAAAAATTCTGGCTTAATGATTTGTGAATTAAACAAAACAAAAATTTAAGTAATAATACTTTATGTAACCTCTTTCAGGAAGTGGAAAAGGAAGAAAAATATGCCAACTCATTCTGTTTCCATCTGATACAATGACTCTGTAATGTGGTCATTTAAAGTGCCCTAAGTCAATACTTTTTATGAAAATCTAGCTTTGGTGAGCTATAAAGACAAATTCCTGAGAATGTGGGAAACTTATCTCCAAAATCACACCTCAGCAGGTTTCCAAACCTGTGCATGTGTGATGAGCATAGAGACTCACCTGAGTGAACATTAGTGGGTGTCATGAACAGAGAGGGTTATGTATTTCATGGAGACTCACCTGAGTGAACATTAGTGGGTGTCATGAACAGAGAGGGTTATGTATTTCATGGAGACTCACCTGAGTGAACATTAGTGGGTGTCATGAACAGAGAGGGTTATATATTTCATGGAGACTCACCTGAGTGAACATTAGGGGGTGTCATGAATGGAGAGGGTTGTGTATTTCATACTGCACTCCTGTCCACGAACTCCTCAGCCTCCCTATATTGTGATCAAGGTCACATACCTGAGTTTTGTCAAGGTGTTGTAGACACAATGACACCATCACTTCCAGGTCACCCTCCACAAACATCCCCTCACCTCAGTCCACGCTGGCTTCTCATATCCCGCGGCACTAAAGTGCAGATGTCTCAGGATGGCCCCGGGAGTCATCGGTAGAGGAAGGTCACTGTGACTTCAGACAGAAGGAACTTAACTTTCTATCTTTAACTCATTGTGTTTTCCATAAATGGAAGCATCAATGCTATTCTCACCTCCAACTTGCGTGCTTTACATGAATAGAAGTATCAGTGCTGTTGAAAAAATGAACAAAACAGGAGTACCTTGAGCCTGGCCACAACTGATTAAAATGTATTCCAGAAATGTAGAATTGTCTTAAGATACTGAAAAACAATTATGAGGCATGGGGATTATTGATTTCAAGGTCAGCCTGGGCTTTCTCTAGAAAGAAGGGAGTTACGATAATCAGAGTTATGTGTATGACACCGGCACCGAACATGCTCAATTAAAGTTATTTTAAAATTACAGTGAGATACCATCTCACACCCATTAGGATGGTTATATATTTAAAAAATAATAAAGCCCAGAAAAATATCAAATATTGGTGACAATGTAGAGAGCTAGAATTCTTGTACCCCTGACTTGCACTCAGAATCACTTTTGCTACTATGAATTCCCATATTCACTTTAGGACTAACCTCTCAGTTTTACTTTAAAAAAGCCTAAAGAAAATTCAATAGGGATTGTGGGAGATCTACAATTTTAACAGTATTTTATGTCCTAATCCACGAACTATAAATAGATGTCTCATTTCTCTGAGCAATTATTTTTAGATTATGTACAAATTTTATGCCAGTTTTCTTAAATTCATTGTTTTCAATGGTATTCTGAGTTGAATAATGTTGTAATAATATATTCAGTCTTTGACTTAACATATGCAAATATAAATTGAATATTTGACTTCAATTATAAAATAAATATTTCATCTATAACTTTGCTTTATTATTTTTTATTAATGTTTTTTTATATATTTTGGATCATGTTGATTGGGATAAAGTGTAGCATGAATCTTAAAAATTCTTATTAATAAAATCAAACCCGAGGCCAGTTATTGGGGTCAATGCTGGTAGATCAGAGAGACAGAACAAGCCACAGCTATCTCACCTTGCCAATTCCTCAGCTGGTCCTGTTTCCTCAGACTGGAAGCCTCTGAGTCCTCATCCAGAATGAATCTCAGCTGAACTGTGTTGCTCCAAAGCCTGAAAGCTTAACCAGGCCAAAATGCTTAACCAGCCAAATACTTAACCAGCCTAATGCTTCTGGTTTCTGGTCCTCAACGCCTTATAAACCTTTCTGCTTTCTACCACCACTCCCTGGGATTAAAGGCTGCTTTCTGGGATTAAAGGCGTGAGTCACCATGCCTGGCTGTTTCCAATGTGGCCTTGAACTCACAGAGATCCAGAGGGATTTCTGTTTCTGGAATGCTAGGATTAAAGGCGTGTGCTACCACTGCCTAACCTCTATGTTTAATATTGTGGCTTTTCTGTTCTCTGACCCCAGATAAGTTTATTAGGATACACAATATTTTGGGGAACACAATACCACCACAATAAAGGATAATTTTTAATCGGTATGTCTTCAGTTTGAATTGTTGTGGGAATGTACAGAGGAAAAACTGTGTCCTGAATTGTATCCACCCTCAACTGTTAAGATGTTTCTACAGTGCTGTTTGAGAAGGTAGAGGATATTTGTAGCTTACTGGTACTACGGGTTGGAACTTATTCATGAGCATGTATTAGGCACATAATTTTGAATGAGCATGTGGATGTCATATGTAAGATGCTGATGAAACAGCAAGTGTAGGCAAGTTCGGGCACCTGCACACAGGTGTGTGGGCAGGTCCCACACTATGGGGAAAGAAAGAGCCGGGATAATGGGAATACGGATGCTCACATTCGGGTAACTGAGATGCTTCCTTTGGGAGAACTGCAGGGTAGGTTTTCAGAAACACCTGCCTAGGAAAACCCTTCATGACACCAGCAAGTTCAGCTGAGGCCCCAAACCTGGAGGCCACAGTCACTGAGAGTGACATTGGGAGCTGGTCAGGCCCTCAGGCTCAGTGTGTATCTAATCTTGTTGGATGAGGTCCCCAGCTGCCTCTCTCTGTTCACCTTCCAGATGGCCCAGTTCTGAAGCTCCTGTGCTGGAGACTGGTGAGCACAGGAAACGCTCATGGACCTGGGTGTCACAAAGACCTCACTGCAGGGATGTCTGGGGAAGTTATTGTCTGCAACCTCAAGTTTCTGAAACTTCTCTGGGCTCCTAGTTCCTCATCAGCCGAGTTGAGAAGTGGGCTGTGTGTGGGACCGGAACGGACTGACGGAGCAGTTGCAGCTCTTCTCGTTTTAGACCTTGGCCCACAGGATGCGAATTGCACTTCTTGGTTGGAGACAGACTCTGTGAACAACTTGCTTTTAAATAGCCTCCATGTTTTAGCTACTTGTGATGGCTATTCTTGATTACATCTGGAATTAACTAAAACCCGTGTCTGGGTACACCTATGAGGGATTTTTTTCTTAATGCAATCATTTGAAGTGGGAAGACTAACCTTTAATCCAGATCTTTTGAGGTAGAAAGACCAACCTTTAATCCAGATCTTTTGAGGTGGGAAGACCCACCTTCAATCTGAGTCGCACCTTCTGCTGGCAGCCTATATAAGGACCCGGAAGAGGAAGCTTATGCTCTTTTTGTCTCTTTGCTCTTACTTTTGCTGGCAAGTCCATTCCTTCACTGGCATTAGAGCCTACTCTTCAGGATTCTTGTGTATACTGAAGATCAGCTGAGACATGGAGCTTCATGGACTAAACAACTACTGGATTCTTAGATCTTCTGTCAGTAGACAGCCATGTTGGACTACCTGAACCAGAGCCTGTAAGCCATTCTAATAAACACCATGTATATGGTAGTTATTAATGAATATATATACATATACATATACATATACATATACATTTATGTTCATTCTATAAGTTCTGTTCCTCTAGAGAACCCTGACCAATACAGTACTTTTCTCTGGAAAAGAAGTACCTGGAGCTAGAGCAGGATGCAGTGTGGTGTCAGCTTCTGCAGCCTGCCTTCTGAGCCTTGTCCACTCTGTTCCTCTTTCTTTCATTTCTTAGGCCTTTACATATACTCTTCAAAAAAGACATAAATGTGCTTCATTGATATGTATTGTTATGAATCTTTGGTATTAAGGACAAAGTAAAAACTTCCAAATTGCCAAATCTTCCCGTACTTGACATCCTGTACTCCTTTTTTTTTTTTTTTTTTTTTTTTTTTTTTTTTTTTTTTGATGGGCACTGGTGTAGCCTCTGTATTGTTGTTATCAAAATATGCTGCCATGACAGATGTGTGAAGGCTTTTTCTGGGTCTGCTCTTGGCAGTCAAATTGTTGGGCTTCTGAATGTTCAGCTCGGCAGATGAGGCCAAACTGTTTTCTAAAGTGGCCTTACAATTCACACTCTGATGGCGATGTGTAGAAAGCCATGATAATTTAGAGCATTCCAGTCCTGCCGGTGTTGTGGATAGGTAACTACTAGGGGATCTCCCAGCATTCCCTTCATCACTAATGAGGCTGAACACATTGGTCTGCTGAGCTTTCTCTTCTGTGAAACAATTGACTCTGTCTTGAGTCCATTTTTTTCATGGGTTCTTGGTGCTGTTTTTCCTCTTCTCTCCCCATCTCTTTCCCCTGGTCTCATTCTTTTTTGTTTGAGACAGTTTCTTATGTTGCCCAGGCTGTCCTCAAACTTTTGATGGTTGAAGATGACCTTTAGCTCCCATTTTCCTGCCCTTACCTCCCAAATGCTGAGGTTATAGGTGGGCACCACCACACCTGGCTTTCTTTACTGATTCCGGGGAACTTGAGACACACCCTTTGTCAGCTGGGTAAACCACAGGTGGAGTTTTCAGGTGTAGAACTTGACTGTTTTTCATTTAAAACATCCAATGAACCAGAGCCATGTAGCTACATTTAAACTTACCTTATAGATAACACCTTTTCAGTCTTGATTAATGTCTTTCTGCTCAAATACCTGAAAGAATAACAGCAAATATCTTTTCTGCTAATACTTAACAATTTTTAAAATTGTGATATAAGTCTTTTCCCTGTGGTCCATTTGAGTATAGACTGTGAAGAAGGTATTTGACTCCCTCTGTACCAGATTTCCATCTTGCCCTGATCATTTCAGTGGCATGTATCTGCCTGTCTCTTCCTGCTCATGTCCTCCTGTATTCCAAGCCTCCTAAATTCTAATAAACAAGACTGTCTTCCAGGAAGGCCCCTAGTCTCCAGTATTGCTATTTCTATTCTTTCTTTTTTTTAATAAATATTTTTATTTTATAATTAATTTAATTTTACACATCAGCCACTGATTCCCCTGTCCTCCCTCCTCCCACCCCCCAGCCTTCCTCCCCAACCCACTCCCCATTCCCACCTCCTCCAAGGCAAGG